GGACAACGAATGCCTTATCATTATCAAGCCTTCGACATTTCGAGATTTTAAAGTTTTGGCCATTGCTCTGCATTCCTCTATAGACCATCGCTCACTCTTCTTCGGAGGTCTGCATGGCCTCCTGCGGGCCAAAGCTGAGCAGAAGAATCCGCTGGCCAGGTTTTGTGGGGACCTGAGCAGGCTTGCTACCTACGCTCACGTTTACGTTCTTACGCGTAGAAACTTAAATTTGCAAAAGGGGCTATTTTTACGGCTGTATTTACGGCTTTGCAGACACCAGGTTACATGATGACAGCCGCGTGCTATGATCAGTCCTCCACCCCGCTCGAGCATACTGAACACAGCGTCCACATCGCTCTCAGCAAGGTCAGCGACATCGACGAACAAGAGTTCGTTTTTCGCCCGCTCCGGTGTGTCTGCCTGCCACTTCCCGATCTCTGTAATTCTATATGCACTGTCTTTATGTGCGTGGGGCTGTATTTACGCTGCATTTACGCATATTAATGCGAAAAAAAGGATGTACGATCAGCTTTGACGGCGTAAACAACAAACGCGGATCTGAGCATTGCACCTGCAACTTTTGTCTTGAGCCACGCGACCCAGATGGGCCACTGGGGCAGTTGCGACGATGGCCGCGATTGGAGCGCCACCGCGCATTCCACGGATGCTGTCGATGGCGGCGCAGATCGGGAGGGCGGTGTTCATGTAGCCGCAACGAGAAAGACGCCCACCGCTTTGTCCTGGCGCGGTGGGCAAAGGCGAATAGTTAGAAACCATTTTTTGGTTTGCAGGCAAAGCAAGCCACATCAAACGCAACAGCGCGGGCCCCCCAGCGCAGGGGACACCCTGCTTGTTGCTTCCCTGCAGCGCGCCTTGCTTTGCAATCAAGCGAGGGAAATTCGCAGTGAATTTCACAATTACCGTGCTTTTCTCCTGTGCAAATCCCGCTCCTAAGTGTTTTCTCAAGGCACGCTTCCCATACACAGACACCTCATGCAAGGCGCTAAAGTGTTTTTGCGGGTGCCTGTGATTCCAGCCACGACGGCGTCGGCCTGCCCTTACGTAAGTATACTCGATTCCGTTGCAGAGCAACGGTTCTCCGGCTTTTCCTGTCTATGCACCACTGGATAGAAAACCCGCTCAGCTTTTGTGGCAGAAGACACGGTTTTGGCGTTGCCAACAATGCGTGTTGGTTATCGAAGTAAATATAGCAAAAATTTGCATTGATGTGACATCGGCTTGCCAAGCATACCTCTGGGATGTGACATCTGTGATTACCCAGATATCCTGTCGTTGGGAACTGTGGCTCAGTGCTTCAGACTAAGAGCGCAGATCTGCCTTCCAAATGCTTCATGAGGTACGCTTTGTTCCATCGAGCAGCTGTGCCACAGCGTGTCTGGACAGACATATTGCACAGAGTCCAAAAATATGCCTCGTTGCCTCCAAATTTGGAGGCAACTTATTTAAATATATGCTCACAATGGGCTTGTAAGCAGGCGAGTCCTCGTTGGTGAGTAATTGTGATTGCAGCCATTGCAACTTTACTTATTGTGGAGCGAAACAAAGGTGGCAGTCTGCGAGTGCCATGCTCCTCGCCTTCAAGAGTATTGCCAATGGGCCGTGGCCATTGCAGGCCTGCCGCGCGACTGCCAGCAAGTTGTTCGGAACAAGTACAGACGGAGCAATGCCTCTCGCATTGTAAGTGGAGTACGAAGCGCCGCCCTGCATATGCCACAAATGCTAATAATTGAAGCAGAAACAATCGCAAATATGGCACAGATTGTACGTTAAAGATAACGCGATGTAGTCTCATTCCAAGTTCGTTTAGTTTTCAAATACGCGATGGGCTCCTTCAACAAATTTTGCTCATAACCAAATCTGTGTGGAAAATGGAATATGTATTGCCCCTGAAACGCTTACGCGCCTGCACAGACTCTCCTACAAGTATCATTGTGGAGGATTGAACCACGGCCATGCCGCCCGGGCTGTTGTTCTGTCGAGGCAGAGCGGGCATGTTGTTCTGCTGCCCTGTCCTTTTCAAGCATTAGAAGGCGCCCGTATTCTGGTCTATCGAAATTACGGAATTTCGATATGGTGTTTGCCAGATGCAGTCGCAGAGAGCAGTTGGCATGCAGGCAGCGCCGCTGCACCAATGAACCAGGTGCAGGCGAGGCCGGTGGTTGGCCACGGGAAATCTGCGGCACATCTAGTGAAGTGCTGTAGCACCATTAGCTAACGCACCAGCCAACAACCGCTGCTCGCGTGTTTGTGGACTTGGGGTGGGTGCACGGGCTGTGGCGCGGCGACATGCGAGCGGGGCGCGGTCCTCGTCCGTATCTGGCTCAGGTGGCGGTATCTGGCCTTTACTAATGCCGCCCACTCATTTGGCCTTTCTGTGGCCGCCCGGTTGTCGGGGTGCGAACATCGGCACGGCATTCACTGCGAACTGTCAGTGAACGCGAGGCGACGGCGTGGTGCACTGCCATTTTCGACACCATCCGCCAAAGCCCACCCCCCGCGAGGTTGCCATTCCAATGGCAGCAAAGTTCCCGAACATTACCCGCGCTGCGCCCCACCCCCTGCCGACATCGCGCCGGGCGCCCAACCACCCCCCTCCCGACAATCCAGCCCCTCCCACTGGCAAAAACCTGGCAGTTTTTTTGGCCGCGCCGCATTCGGTCAGCGCCCCGCCACGTGCCCAAAAGGCTGCCCCGCGCCCGCCACTACTCAACCCCCCAAACTTCTGCTTGGGCTCAAAATACGAGGTGGTCTCGAGAAGTCGCGTCACCCTCCCCAGCGCGCCCCCCCCAGTGCCCGTCCACGGCTTTTACGACAATTGAGCGAAACGCTGCTCCCCGGCTGGCAAACTGGAGGGGACCAGGCCACCGCAGGTGGGCTACCTGTCCCTGGGCCCATCCTGCGCCACATCGGCTCCCGTGATTTGCAGCGACGTCAGCCCCGTGACTGTCGGGTACCCGAACCGCGACAGTCAGCGGGACAGCGCCAGAAACGCGGGTTGATTAGGCACGGGGAACTTCGCCCACTGCCGCCCCCCAGCGCTGTGGGCCCATAAAAGGCGTGCGGGCTGCCGCCGGCCTGGCAGCGGTCGTGCTCGACGCGCCGCAGAGCCTGGCGCCCAGCGCCGCCCCACACATCGCCAAACCGGGGCGGAAGGGGTCCCTTCTTCCGGTGTCAGCCGGCGGGGCCTCCAATAACTCTGTCCGCAGGGCCCCCTGACATGAACGCCACGCCGTTTGGGCAGGGGGAGGATGAGATGATGCCCGGCGGGCACGTGCTGTATAAGAGGTCCGCGTCGGATGGCTGGCGCAGGGGTGGCGCCCAGCGGCGATTGACCTCGGTGTACGACATCCGAATGGGGCCCTCGATTGGCGGCTGCCAGGTCGACGGGCGGGGGCTGGAGGGATGCGGCAATCAGGTGGGGAAAGGGGAAGACGCGCCGACTGCGGGGCAAAGCAAATAGGGTTGAGAGCGAACCGTGGGTCAGTGGGGGGGTGTCACGTTCTGATGTCATGTTCGGGCGGTTATTCGTGCTCGCAACCCGGCACGACAGCCCCCGGGAGCCCGCGGGGCTGCCGAGAGGGCGGCGCTCGGCCCGAGCGGAAGGGCCGGTTTTCTGGAAGGGGGAGTTGGCTCGTGGAGGTGTGTTGAAAATGGCATTGGGGACGGGGGCTTGGGGCGCGCACTTCTGGATTCGGGCGAGCTGCGCGGGCTGCACGTCGGCCTTCTGTCGTTCGAAAAGCCCGTGAACGAATTGGGCGAAACTTTTGAGCCCCGATTCGGCAGCGGGCGGCGTGCCAATTGGCGGACCGGGCGCCATGAGCGCGAGCCGTTTGTGCGAGCGAGGCTGTGGCGTTTTCGCTTGACGTCCCAGCGGGACCCTGCAGCCACAGGGACCGGACGCCGTCAGCCCCCGACGTTCCTGACCGCATCCCCGCGCGGCGCTACGCCAGCAGTTGTCGCGGCTCTGACGCTCAAACACAGCCCCAGGCGCGGCTTCGAGGAGGGGGTAATCAGCGCCGGGGGCCCGGCCGCCGGTTGGCGGTGGCGAGACAGGCTCTCGGCAGCATCCCCCCTCCAGCCATCCCTCGAGTCCGGCAACCAGAAGCGACGCTGCGCCGACGGAAGCGTTGCTACGGCCCCCGTTGCGCACACCGCAGCCCTCGCTGGGCACGGCAGCCCGTTCCGCGCGTGCTTCTCCGCCAGCCTGTGGCTATGGCCTGCCAACCGGCGGCAGTGCAGGGGAGGGTCCCACCACTCGTTTTTCGCCACAAGCAGGGAGGGGGGTGTTGAAATTTTCTGTCCGTCATACCGACGTCCTTGTCGGCCTGTGAACGGGGTGGTACGTACACACCTCACAGTGTAATCCACCCTCGGCCACCTGCAGGGCGCTGGGGTGCGTACACACCCGCCGCCGTTGTGCCGCGCCCGATCGGATTGCATGAGTCAACAGGCGAGGGCAGCCGGCGATGACGCGACAGGCGGGCGAATCCCCAAGAAGCCGCACCAGGGAATGCTGCGCGTGGTGGTGTCAAGCGGATCCCGATGAAATGCGCGGCGCCAAGGGGGGTGCAAATCTGTCAGTGTGGCCTGCCGTCCCGCGCCACGGTGCGCCCGGACGACCAGTGAGCCGCGTTATATATATAGAGAGATGGGCGTGCGCCTTCAGGCGCCCACAACATGGGCCCGTCAGTCGCCGTGTAAAGCGCCCTGGATTGGGTTCATTCCGCGATTGGCGCGGCCAGGGCCGCGGACGGTGCGCGTGAAGCCGACGTCGGCGCGCAGCTCTCGGACCCATGCTCCAGGTCCAAATCCCGGCCAGGTAGTTTATATCGGAGCTCGCGAGCCCGGGCCCGGCTGGGCCGCAGCAAAGGAGACGCCTTTGCGACGCAGCCGGGGACGTCATCAGCCCGCGGCCCACCAAGTCGATTCACCCGGTGCAGGAGACACCCCCCGGCGACTTTGCCGACGGCGCCAGAGGGATGCAGGTGCTCGGCCCCCCGACTCCAGGCGGCTGAGGGCGCCGCCTCCTGTGCGGAAAGATCGCCCTTGCTCTGGCGAGAGGACGGAAACGATTCCGGAACGACGGTTAGCCCGCATCGACACCCTGGCTTGAAGGTTTCTCTCACGGCCTCTGTGGTCCCTGCTTAGACGGCAGCCAATTTGCCGCCCAAACCGCGCCGCTCACCCGACGCCCTCACGCGCCTTTCCGTGTGCACCGCGCAGGCCTTGGCGCCGGAGGAGGCCGCCGCGCTGGGGCGCGTGCTGTTGGGGCCCCAAGACGCCGACCTGCCCATTCCGACCGCCAACTGGCCCCGGCAGGCGCCCGCCCACGGCTCCCTCTTCCACAGCCAGCCCTCCTCCCGCACCCCCATCCTCCATGCTCCCTCCAACCACGCCGTGCTCCCCAAACCCGCGCTCTCGGCCGCCCACTCCGGCGGAATCCAGGCGTTCCTTGAGGCCCCGCGATACGGGACGGCCCACTACGGCTGCGCCGCGTCGCCAGCGGTTCCGTCTTCTCTGGCTGGCGGGAGAGTGGGCGGGCGGCTGCTCGGGCCGGACGGATCGCCGGTGCGCAGCCTGGGCTCCCCCGCGCGGCAGTGCCTCTCGCGGCTGAGCGCCTACACCGAAGAGGACTCCCTGCGGGCCGGCCTGGAGGCCCCGGGCCTGATCAGGCCCCAGGTCGTCAACCCCGTGGCTGGCATGGGATCCCCGCTGGGGTCGCCGGCCACATCACTGGGACTGAATCCTGGGCAATCGTTCTGGAGCCCTCCATCCGCGAAACGGATTTCGTCGGTCGGGTCGCCCGCGGCGGCTCCCGCGGCGGGGAAGGCGCCCGGGTCGAATGAAGCCGTTCTTCGGGGCCCGGCGAGGGCGCCCGGGACGAATGAAGCCGTTCCTTGGGGTCCGGCGAGGGCGCCGATCGGAATGCTGGGATCCGAAAGTGTGCCCGGAGGAGGGACTGACGGGCGAGGGGAGCGGGCAAGGGGCTCCGTGGAGGCAATGAGAAGATGCAGGCCCCAGGGGGGGAGGGAGAGGGCCGAGCATGGCGCTGGGGCGGGAGCGGGCGGGGGGGCCAGGGGGGTGATGACCGTGGACGGGGTAGCGGGGCAGGCGGGCAGGGGCGGGAGGGCGCGGCACAGGCCCATCTGGAAGCCGGTCAGAAGGAAGGTGGGCGGCGAGGGCACGCTCAAGTGGATGATGCCCAGCGGTGAGAGCCCCAAACCTTGTCGACTGCGTTGCTCGATCGCTGGTGGGAATCCACCGAACTGAATTCGGCGCTGCTCATTTTCACACAAGCGTTCTCTCAGGATCGCTCTCGAGCGACAGATCTGTCTCTGAAGGTCTCGTGTCAGTGGTGCAAAACTTTCTGAAAGGGCACAGAGTTGTTCCTGTTCATCTTTACATAGTCTGTGCTGTGTTTGTGTGCAGCTTTAACTGTGTTTCTATTGCCATTCCCTTCTGCAACAATGCGAAAACCTACCGGCTTCAGCGAGATTCACACTCAGGCGGCCAGCTACTCTCGCTCTCTCTGCCCTCTCATCTCATAGTAGGGCCCCAGTTCATGGCGAGGTGACGGCCCGCATCTGAACGGCACATTCACAAATTGGGAGAGCGCTATCGAAACGGGGCAGGCTGGAGCTGCCGAGACACCGTAACGCTGGAACGGTCGATGCGGCGGAAGCGAAACCAACGCCGCGACAGGGACTCGCCATTTGCGCATAAGGATGAGAACCCAGGCGGAGGCGGTGACGCCATGTTATCGTAGACCACTGCATCGATACAGGGGCCGCCAGACGCCCACCTTACGATAGATGATGAGTGCAAAAGATGCTGAGCGCCGAACAGACGTGGGGAGGACCTTGCGACAGGCAGTACTGCGATATTGCGGTCCCCTGCCGCCTTGATGCGCGTGCGTCGTCCGGATGCCTGTGCGCCAACGAGGGGCTGCTGGTGTTCACGGTGGACCATGGGCAGAGTCCTGGATGGCGCTGTTTTCCCTCCTGAACGCTCGTGCGCGTTAGGCACACTCCGCCCAGTCAACGACATGCGATTGGCACATTGTGAGGTGTACGGAATACGCAATCTACCCTTGAACCTTGGTTCAGCCGTGCGGATAAGGGGAGCTCCTGTACGGCATGGCCAAGCACTGACATCTCCCGAGTGCAATGGAGAAGCGCGTGGTTGTGATTGTGATTTCTATCATGTCGACAGGCACAAGGAAGGTCGGCGAGGGTGTGGAGGACACTTCACAGGGTGTGATTAATTGGGAGATGTCGCCCAGCGGGTAAATGCAACGCCGACACAATTGAAATTGGGTCATGTTTTAGGCTTAATCAGTGCTGGACGCTGGGCAAAAGCGCGGGCTGACATTCTACAAAGGAGAGGCGGATGATCCAAGCAACAAAATATTTGTGGAAACGTGTGGAAGTTAATGGTGCACCTACTGGTTACAACCAGCCAAGAGGTTTAGAATTGTTTGGCGAACGCAATTGTCACCGACACTGGTAAAAAAATCGGCCAAAGTACACGGTCCAGAAATTCGTGTACCATGTTGCGCGTGTCAAGGTGGTGTAAAAATCGTGTGACTATCGTGTACTAATCACAAAATACACCTTTGCCCCTGGTACGCTGTTGAAATCGTGTAAAACCGTGTGCTTTGTCGTGTTGTCCATGGTGGTAAGGTGGACCACTTTCGTGTACTACCCAGGTTGAAAACTACACGATTATAGCGATCGTGTAAAATCGTGCTCTGAAGCACCCGATTTGTACACGATAATAACACAATTTTGTCCAATTGCACACCGTGTAAAATGGTCGAATTTTTACCAGTGCGAATGCAGCTTGGCCACTCTATTTCGTGCGCACATTTTAAGGTATGGGCAGGGAACTGACTGACTGTTGCGTGTGCCTGGTCTCGGCATGTGCTTAAGTACATTCACTTGCTGTGCCACAGGGGAGTTGTGTTGAGGACCACTCTTCTGGTTGCTGGTTTTATCGTTGGTGAGCGTTCGTCATTTGCATCGTCATCTTTTCCGCCCTGCACCATCGTGTCGCCACACACCGCTGATGACGCAGTTCTGATCACTAGGAAAAAACTGGCCAGATGACACAGTCCTGACACGGTCTGCTCAAAATCCAACTGTGTGCTTTCGGCAAATGTGGTCCCAAAAGTACACAGTTAGTACACACATTGACACAGTTTCAACCATGTACCCTCAAACAACTGTGTAGACTACACAGTTTCCTAGGATGCACGGTTAAACTGTGTCAATGTGTGTACTGATTGTGTACTTTTGGGACCACATTTGCCGAAAGTACACGGTTGGATTTTGAGCAAACCGTGTCAGGACTGTGTCATCTGGCCTGTTTTTTCCTAGTGGATTGGCAGCAAATTACCCAATTCCTACAATTTGCCCCAGTGCCCTAGTCGCGCCACTCAACTGAAAGTCCACTTAGCTCATTAGTAATTTAAGCCGCGATGAAGCACCGCTTACACCGTCCAGCTTTCTCTGCGCCGTCAAACACCATCGTTTGTACACCTCCCGGTTCCGGCTCTCCTTTTTACTAGGAGATTCCGGCTTTTCTGCGTCGCCAGCCATGATGCCATTTGATACTAATTGACACTATCACACCTGCTTTTATGCCATCGCCATCACTGTGACGGTGTCACTCTGTGTCGACACGACATCGCCGCTGGCCTCGCAAACATGGCGTTTCCGACGATGTTTGTCTCTGACGCCTCGGCGATCTTTGCTCCGCCAGGTCCTGCTGGAAGGGCAGTCCGCAGCATCATCGACAGCTCAGGAGCCGCCATCACGTCCAGAAAGGAGCAACTGCGCGGCGGGCAGGTGTCGCGCGCGTTTTTCATCGAGGTGAGAGGCCAGAAGCGCCGGCGCACATCCTGCCTCACGCCTGTGCCTCTCGAGAGAGGCTGTATTTGATATCAATTGCTGCATCAGTTGAAGTATATCGATACGCACATCAACTGCTTTGTCAATATGTACCAGTTGCTATATTGGTATATGTTGATAACAACGCTGCGTCCGTGCAGCATTGTATGTACTGCATTACTGATGCAACGCCGAGCAGCGCCGCAGCGAGGACGCCGTTTCAGCATTGGGCGTCACGTCCCAAGATTGGGCGTGCGCGCAACTCCCTGAAAACTTTTGTACGGGCATTTTCTGAAACAGTGTTGGATATTGGATCAATGGCAGCGCGACCGCAGTGGCAGCGAAGTCTACCCTCTGTCAGAGGCGGACCTTTTCGATGCATCTCTGCAAAGGTAGCAGAATATGATGCGATCGTATGCGCGAATCCGCATTGGGTTGTCCAAAGCACGGTTGCCGTGAATCCCAATGTCCGATGCAAAGCCGTTGCAAACCGCCTGGAGTGGCTTGCAGCCCTATTGCGGCCCTCACATGACCGAAGATGATGATGAGGAAATTTCATTAACTGCTTGTCAGCCACCGAGGGCCACGTCGCCACCCAACAGTACGAGCACAGTATGTCCATTGCTGCCTGCCCGATGCACTTGCATATGGAGGGAATACGGAGCTTTGACACAAACATGGCTACGCTAGCGCAAAACACTATCTGTGCGGTTGCAACTGAGAAGCCATTTTGGCACTAAGTGGCGCCATCGCCCAGCGATGGCCACGGCATCAAATACACCGCTGCCACCTCCGACGGCGCAGCGACAGTCGTTTCAGGGTCGTGGGCAGCTGCTGTGATGCGTGGGACATTCCAAGGCACAATTGAGGTCATTCTGCAAAACATTTCATTGCCGCACTTGTCGCCCTCCCCACTGAGTCGGGGCTTGTTCGCCTTCCAGGGTTCTTCTGACGCCATTGCCACGGCGTTGAAAATAATCATGCACGCCATTCTACGATACAAACAGCTCGCGGAGGGCGAGTACGAGGGTGAGTATGATGGCAGTCGCTGGTGTCCTGGAGAGAAAGTGGCACAGAAGACGGGCCTGAGATGACGCGATTTGATTGTTGACTTTTTCAGCAGTTGATTGTGTACAATTGGCTGCCTGCAGTTGAACGGGTCCACCCATTCAACTTGTTTGTCATGTCAACCATACCAATTTTTTTGGAGTGCATCTGCCGGAAACGCTTGTTTCGGATCGCTTGGACTTCTCAGCTGCTCTTGCCACCGGTCATGGCAGGCGCCCTCCCCAGAAAACCAACTTGGGAAAGGTATGGAAAGTTCCACAAAGGTCAATGCTGCGCAATTGGCTCCCGTTTAGACATTCTATACACCAGAGACCACCGCCATTAGCAATTCGATGTGATGTCAAATTAGAAGTAAGCCAATAGTAGAGTTGCTTGGGAGCTCTCGATCATCAAGGACGGAAATAAACTGCGTGAATGGGGCAGGCCACTGCCGGAGAATGTGGTGATTGGGGTCAATGATGATCGTTCCGCCAAAGCAAGCAAGCAGACCTGGACTTTTTCTGCCTCTGAGTTACGAGGTGGTGCAACGCAGGTAAGCAGGTAGAGAGATCGCAGCGTGTCGACGGCATCGAGTTCTTCTACCAGCCACCTCCAAAGGGCATAGTGCCTCATGCGGCGGCCATATGAGACGGGGCCAGTGAGCAACATGTCAGGGGAATTGAGGTGAAGCTGGGCCGCGCACATAAGCCTTTGGAAATACCCCCATTATCCCTTAGCAACTAAAATGTGCGCTCGCTTTGGCCGTTCCGTTTTCCCAACCTCTGCGTGCTCCTCATATGCATGTGCACTCATTGCGCGGAATCACTTCTGCGCACTTTTGTGTTCACCGGGCGTTTCGTGTGCATGTTCAGTGTTGCAGTTTCATTGCACTCCACGGAAGGCGATAATCAGGGGTCTTAACATTGGAAGGGGGCTGCAACAGCTCACGTGTCCATACGAACAGTGGCCTGCGTCTTTTCAAATCAAACCGTGAAAGTTACAGCGGAACATCAACGTCAATTACCATCGCGTAACGCGCGTGGACACAAACAAACAAGCACCAGTTGTTTTAGAAATCGCGACAGACGCGACCTGGATCTGCTTGGCCGATAGCCTGTTATTTTGCGGGATTTCCGAAAAAAAGCATAAGCGCGACGAATATTACGTCACTGTGGCCTGAGAAAACGGTGCGGTTCTGTTGAGATTCGCGTCACACCGTGGCATCGGCTGTCATAGTTTTGGCGCTGCTTGATGGGGGCACAAAAAGTGAGGGTGAGTGACTTTATGCGTGAGATAGTCCTATCTTGACGAGAATGAGAACGGCAAACCTGTAATTTCCAAATTGGCTATTGTTCAATTGTTCATTCAGTCATTTGACTGCAACATATTTACGAAATCAAGAAGAAATTGCCTTGCGTGGCTCGTGGGTCATATGCGGTTAATGCTACAGGACTTGGTCTATTTCGATGCGCGATATGCAGTTAATACCAGTATTTTTATCTCTGACTCTGCTCTACATGATATTATTATAACTTTAGGCACACTGATTCTATTCACGCATTCTGGAAAGAACCCACGTCGGGCCAACTTGTTGCAATGTGCAATTCTCTTCCCCTGTTTATCCCAAAACCTTGTTTCATGAATTCGACATGATTTGGGCGGCGAATTCAAATAAGCAGCGTTTCAAATAAACAAGCATATTTGTGAAGCTTTGCCGGAACCCTGTCGGCTTTTCCGCCACGCTGATTCGCTTCATTCCCTTCTTCGGATGCAGCTGCGACGGGATTTCCAGCCTGCTGGTCAAGATTATCTGCAGGCGATCCCCTGCTGATCTGTGTGATCCACAGGCGGTCCCAGGGGAACGCCACATGATTTCTGCGATTTCTGTGCGCTTCAGGCGAGCACAGCGGGGTGCTCGCGAGTCCAAATTGGTCCGCCCACGCGGGGCGGAGGGTAATGCACCGAAAGGGGGCCTGCCGGCCCCGCGCGAAAATAAGTCACGCCGCGTGACGCCGGCGCGCAACACCGGCGCGTAACTCCGGCGGTCCGTGTTTGCTAGTGACTCGTGTAATTTTTTTAGTGCCGCCCGCAAAAGCAGCGCCTTTGGCCGTTGGCCGTTGACACGGGCACGGGGCGGGCGGCGGGAGGCTAGCAGCAGCAGCGAAGGAAACAAATCATTGCGGGAAAAGGAGAAAACGAAAAATTTTGAATGTTCTGCCGGGGCACCGGGGGTGAAATGAACGCGCCCGTGGGGCAGGCATCCGGGACACAATGAATCGAAATCCAGTAGAAGCATTGATAACATTTTTTCCCTGGTGTGTGGGGCCGACAAGGGGGAAGCGGGTTTACGCGGGCAAGCCTGTTCGAGATCGTTACACACTTTGTACAGTTGCAGCCAGTCACTTAGAGGAACGATGCCGGGAATTATTGTGCGGTGCGGATTGGATGGTGGCCCGAACCTTGTAATTCAGATTGTAATTGAAAGTAGTGGTCAACGGCGTCGGCACGCGCACTCGTGGAGGGGCGGTGCTGACATCCAGTGGCGCACGGGACGCTACCGCCCCGGCTCGAATAAGCCGCCTGCCAACGACGTCCCACTGATGTTTTCCCCTGCCCGAATGATGTATTTCTGTGGAGCTAATGTTCAAATCCATCCAATTGCTGCTAGATCTAAAACTGCTGCTGGCGTGCGTCGCTGTTCCAAATTGACCAATTTGGAAGTAGCGGCACTTCATGTTGGAAGCAACAGTGCCTCCAGCATCTTGGGCGCAAGTAATCGAACTAATTGAAGCGACATAAAAAGCGACACGCTAGGCATAGGACGTGTTTCTGCAGAGCTGTTATTACCATATACACCATCAGTATGTTAGTATTTATTACGCAATACAGTATTATGCAACATATACCGTACGAAACCATTTTTCCAGCCATGTTCTATGTGATTTGATACATAAATGCCTCCCTTCAGTTCAATTGTTTTCATTTAGTCTTCGCCAAAACTGATAGCACCGAAATTTGTGTGTCACTGGCCAGACAAGGCCTATACCTATAGCAGACGTCGCCTTACCAGTAAACAAGTGTTGCCCCCCCCCCCCGGGGAGCGGCTGAAATTATACAGCTGCGGATATTGTGCATGGTGCCCTCACCGCATGGGTGCTTTACCCCTCGATCCAAGAGCTGCAATAAACCTTGGACCGAGATATCAGTGCACTTGCGGATGTTGTGGAGGAGATCCAATATACTGTTTCGGATGAGTAGCTTTGGGGGCTTTGGCAATGTGGGCATCCCCCGACTTTATTATCTGCAACCGCCACATCCCTTGTTTCCTTCTTTCCAGTTCAAATAGAATGAGCTCGGCATGGAGTGAAATGAAGTAAAAAGTACCTTTTACCATTGCGCGAATCTGTGAGTCAACAAACCTAGCTAGGTTTAGCTATGTTCCTTTGACTCACAGATTCAAGCAATGCTGACTGACGGCAGGGAGTGGCATCCAATTGATATCATAATCCTTAGCCTGTTCATTTTGGCAATCTGAAATTCTTCATTTCCACATGAGGTTTATGTAAAATGTCAAACCAATAAGAATTTCAAAGTCTCAGCTTGCCGGTATTTCAGAGTCATCGTGGCCGTCGTGTGTGCCAGGGTGGTAAAAACACCAATTTCAGCGCAAAGTACGTTCACAAAACAATTTGGGAAGATTATGCCATGCAGAGGCGTATTTTCAAGTGAGATGATCCTCAACTACCACGACCGAAAAGTTGGCCTACTGAAGGAGAGGCACGCTGCCCAGTCCCATGCAGTTTGTCCCGCTCGGCTGGGAGCAACAGTGCAAGCGACCTTTCTGCATTTCCACTGTCGTCCATTCTTTCCTTGGAGCATCTCAGCAACAATCGCGCCTCACAGCAGGACTTCTACGGTAGGAAACTCCTCTTGGGCCATCATCCGCCAAATAGGCGCCACGCAGCACCCCAGTGTGGGTCGTCGTCTTGGGGCACCCCTCATACTTGATTGAAATTTTGAACTCCGACACGACGCGAGGCTTGAAGCGAGAGGTGTTTGACGGGCCGCGTAGCAACAGACTCGTTGTAGGAAGGCCCGGCAGCGTTGCTGTCACTCCATCCACATTTCCAGATGGACACGAAGAGTAGTTCTTAGGGCAGTTGCGGGACGCTTCAAATGGGTGGGTGGGGCTTAGGCCTTCTCGCGGCGCAGTCTCGCTTGGAGGCGTCTAGTCACAATGGCTATTAGGTTACAAACTTGGGGGAGATTCCGGGGTCCATAGACCCTGCGTCGCAATCGCAGCGAGCGTTTGCTGTCCGGTTGGCTCAAAACTTTATGACGACAGTTGAATATAGCAACGTTCCATGTATTTCATGCAGGTACCATACAAAAGGCGTTTCATGCAACCGTAGTCAATGAACACGAGGAGTACGGGGAGTTCTCCGTACACGAAGCTTCACCTACGGAAAACTTGTTTATCGGACATGCTTTATTGGGATCATGGCGGCCTTCGCGCGCCATACCACTCATTCCAGGGCAAACACCATCAAACTTTTCGAATGACATTCAACGCAAATTTCCGCACAGTCGTTCCAAACCACCCGCTAGCTCGTATTGGCACCGCTGCGGCACGCTGAACACTTTCCTCCTCACCGCGCCGCCCACAGCGCCTTAGCTATTGTTAACTACTTCCGACGTTGACCAGAATTAAACCAATCTATTCAATCGTTGCGGGCGGTGTCTTCGAGTGCTGTGGACATCTCAATGCGGCTGCTCGGCCGACCGAAACCTCTCAAATTGAAACTGTCTTTACTTAACCGTAGCAACCACTGTCCGACCTGCCTTGCCAGCCAGAGGATACCCCATGCCTCGAAATGACATTGCCGCGGTCACAACCAGCAACAGGTCTAAACACACACATTCTTTGCGTAACCGAACATTCCCGTAGCTGAATATTTTCTGCGACAAAATACATTCCGTAAATAGCTGTCTGATTCAGCTCGAACTTGTTAAACTTCCACTGAACGGCATTGAATGCGAGCAGCGA